CCTACCCTACCCTACCCTACCCTACCCTACCCTACCCTACCCTACCCTACCCTACCCTACCCTACCCTGCCCTACCCTACCCTACCCTACCCTACCCTACCCTACCCTACCCTACCCTACCCTACCCTACCCTAAACCCTAAACCCTACCCTACCCTACCTACCTACCTACCTACCTACCTACCTACCTACCTACCAATCTAACCATCAGCTCTCCATCTGTCGATCGATCTTTCGATCTATTTGTGATATCGTGGCTGTTGTTTCCTTGTCTATCTACCTTATGTCTACCTATCTGTCGCTTTATCTATCTATGCACATGCGTGTTGGCGTACTCTAAGCATTCAAGATACAAATACATGGATGGATAGGGTCGATCGGTAGATATGTAGACATAGAGATAGGATCCTGGACCCGTGCTTTGTTAATTTTCGTGTAACTTGTGTAGTTTTCAGGTGTCGCCTGTGTTTTGTTGTCGTTTAGGGGTCGGGTTCGCTCCTTGGGGCTTTGGTTCACTCCCAACTCGGTTTGAGTGTGGTGTAGGGTTTGTGTGAAACTAAGAAGGGCATCGGCACCTTTCACTCTACAGAAAAACCCAACCAAATCGTCGTAGCAGCTGTGCACTTCTCGATCTGTGCCTGATGGCACAGCTACGCAGCGGCTCTGGCAAAGCGGACCTATCTTGGAGTTTCACAGTTTGGGTCTGGTTTGATTGATTGAAATTGGTAGTGGGTGTTCGGCTCTTTTGGGTTCTGGGCTCGTGGTTTTGGCTTAGGGACGAAACACGATGTTCAGAACTTTTCATGTGTTGCTTGGCAACTGCGCAGGATGCTGGCTTCGAGGGGGCCCAGGAAGAGCTGAGCCATGCGCAGCCGCTTTTTGACTTGCCGGGGCACCAAGCTTCCGAAGGAAGATCCAAGTGGGTCGGACTCGTCACGAATCACGGTGAGGCTCATGGAGCAATGCATCGAGCAGTTGCCGAACAGTCCAGTGCTCAGTCCTGCTGGAACTTCGTGAGACGGTGTTTTCGGGGCTGGAAGTAGCTCCTGCGACGCAGAGCCAGGCCCTCAGCCAAGCGATGCCGATGCCGTGAGCCGAATATCCCGTGCTTTGCATTACAACCGCATCCTGCGTCGGTCTCCTCCGCTTCTAGATTCGACAATAGCAGTTCTGACAAAGACTGCCGATGTGTCGCTCAAAGGACGCGATTGAAGACAGCCCGCTGACGAAAGGCATGTTCGGATTGGAGGACAGTCTTGAAGAGCAGGCACAGGGAGAGAAGAACAGAAACGGTGGGAAGAGACAGCCTCCATGTTGCACTCCCACACTTCACACGAGGCCGTCGTAAAATCTCGTCGAGCATAATCCTTGTCTTGCTTGTCGAACATGCTGCAGACAGAGAAGCCAAGCTTCTTGGGCGCTTTGGATCTGTCTGGGACCTACTTGCGTCAGAGGAAATCCTAAGCTCGTGGAGTTCCTGCAATTTCACAAGGCCGGCGTTGCCGTCACCGAAGCCCCGCCGGCGCACAAAGAAGGCCTTCTTTCTGATGATTTCGTGGGCTTTCCGTACCTCTATGTAATCCGTGTAGCTGACAGCTGTTGCAGCACCTGGGCCGCAGCGACATCGCGCGGCTGCGCGGCGTGGCCGGGTTGCTCAGAGGCTTTCTTACATGTCTCGAGTCCGCCCCAATTGCAATCACCTTGAGACTCCCGTGCAGAACTATCATCTCAGAAGGCATTCCAGGCCTGAAGCTTCCATGCCAAGTCATGAGACTCAATCATTTCCTGTCGAGATTCACTCAGAGTGTGGTAGCAGAGTCTTTACTGCTCGGGTGCGATCCACTGTGGATAGGGGCTGCAGGTGAGTACGTGGTCTCGTCGAGGTCGTCGTCATAGTCATCGTCGTAGTAGTAGCGGGAGTAGTAGCAGCTGAAGCAGCAGGCTATGTTGAGCTTCAGTATGATTATGAATTTTAATTGATGGTTGAGCTGCAAGTCTGGTTCAGAAACACTCTGAAGCCCGCCCATAAAAACTCCCTCGGGTCACCTTTTCGAAGTCGATGAAAGGAACTGCAGACTCCCTCTCCCGGTGTGTGCTCGCCACTTGTAGGACCCTCTGGATGCTCCAGAGGCCTGCCACTCAGCTACTCCAGCGTTTCGCGCCTCAGACTTTCGGACTTCAGACGGTGCCCTTGTGGAAGGAGTTGCGGTGCGCAATCGACGGCAAGCTTATGGCAGCTGCTCTGCTTCATCTCGTTCTGTTGAACCAAAGATGTGTCGTGCTTGCACCGTGCTTCATGAGCGGATCCAAGCTGTGCAAATCATGGAAAAATAACACCGCCTGGTCGCGAGGTTCCGCTGGTATCGCCTCACGGTCACGTCTTCGAGCACGAGACGCCGCTTCCTTTGGCCCCTGACTAAAGAATGACTGGAGGCGTTTTTTTTTCTGAGGCTCCTGCAGTGGCTCAGCAGCTGCGGCCGGGCCCCCCCGGGAGCGACGGACAAGCACAGCGCGTCAGCGCGTCAGCGCATGTGTCTTGGAGGTAGCATCTGCCCGATCACCGGGAAGCCCCTCAGAGAAGAGGAGCCCAGAACTACATTTCTGTTGAACTGTGCTTCCTTGGTTCTGCAGGATTGCGACCCTGCCGTGGAGATTCAACAAAAGGTCCGCCTCCTGCCCCCGTGTACCGCTTGTGGATGTCTGCAGCAGGTGCTGGACTGGGTCAAGGCTGCCCGGTCTTCCTACAAGCGCCGTCTCGAGGACTGCCAGTCGCTTTAGCCTTGTTAACTTTGAAGAAGATTCAAGATACATGCAAGCACCAAACATGGACCGAATACCCAAGAGGGCTTGGGCTTAGGCGCCCTTCTTTGCTATCTCCGTGCCTCTGCAGCTGACCTGTTAAAGTCAGAGGCGACGAGTGAGATCGCTCAGGGTGCAGACTGAAGCGACGGTTGCGACGGAGACATTGCTCGAGCGAGGTTGGGTTAAGATGCACCACGAAGTCCTCACTTAACAGAACCGCCCAGGAAGCAAGCGCAGAAAGCTTACAAACATAGGTCAATGAGTTCGCATCCTAGATTTAATTGTCAACGTCGAAACTCAATAAGAAGCCCTGCAGCGTCATATGAAACTCGTAAACAATATTCCTAGCGTTCAGCGTTCGACGTGTAATGTAGTGATTTTACGAGGTTGGATGTGTTTGTTCATTATTGTAAGTTTTGTTGTAGGTATAGTCTTCTTGGAGGCTGAAAAATGTTGTTTAACTATTGTATTTGTACTTGTCTTAGAGGTTTCGGGTTATTGTCATCATACATGATAACATAGTTCTAGGTTTTTCACTTTAAGATGTTGTTATACATGTTAGATTTTGAAGTTTAAATTGTCTTGCTGTTGTTTCAGTGTTATTGGTGTGATATTTACTGCTTATTATACTTTCAAGTTTATTAAAGGTTTGATTACTGTTGTAAACTTTGTTGTAGTCATGGTCTTCTAATAGGTTGAAAAATCTGTTTTGTTGTTGTAAAAACATGTCTGATAATTGGCGTTTTCTTAGAATTGTGATTAGGAATGTACAGCTTATCGCAATTATTCTGTGATTTACTCGGACATAAGTATAGGTATAGTAGGTATTAACATATTTACTTGATTATGAGCTTACATGTAGTTATGGTTATTTTTATATCAAGAATTATATCGATATTTAGTTCAATATTCGTTAAATTGATTATTGAGTAATAATTGCATCTTTAATTTACTCTTCATTATCTTTGTTTTATTTGTTTTAAGTGAGTCGGTCTTATATTTATTGTGATCTATATATCTATGTGTTTATTCATCTATAGATTTTCTTTAATGTTAGTATTTTTATTTATTTTGAGACGCGTTCTTCGTTTGGTGTAAATTGAGCATCTTGTGATTTTATTATTGGAAGGTTTGTGGGCGATGTTTTTGGGTTTCTCATTAGCACTTGGTATTGGTAGTGGTAGGAATTTTGGTTGTTTGAACTTGGCTTTAGTAGATGGTCATTGTAAGGCGGTCGTTTTTATTGGGATTTAGTATTTTGGAATTATTGTTTGTTATTAGCGGGCTGGTGGGAGGGGGAATGTATTTTTACGACACATGTCTTTGGCATTAATATTGGGAAGTCATTACGGGGGGGGTGTGCATTCGTTTTCTAGTGATATATATATAGATTTATATTTATATATATTAGGCATAATTAGGGATTTATTGGAATACGAATTTCGAATATATCGATTTGGGTAAATATTTAAATATCTGGGTAGTCAGTATTTCGTTTTTAGATTAATTTGGATCGGTATCGTGGATGATGAAGCTTTTATTTTCTATAAATTCTTTATGGATGTTGTTTGTATTTGGCTTAAGTAAAAGAATTCGATAAACATTTTATTATGAAAGCCGAATTTTGAGTTCTATTTTGCGGCCTTCAATTTAAATCTTTCTTATGAAATAGAATAAATTTTTCTTGGAAGTGATAATAATACTTACCTCCGAAGAGTTTTAATAAGTTATATTTTAAATTTGCCGGGGTAAGGAATTTATATTAGTTAATAATAGAGGGAGATGAAGTACATTGAAGGCGGAAAGAGAGAGTTCTATATTTTCTCTTTGAATAGGTAGGCTCATATCCGGGCCGTATTCGACCTTAAAGATACTTAAGGAGCGATAGATAGATACGAATATAAGTTTGCTTAGTTGCTTTTTATGCTACGAAGTCTTCTAGAAGATGAGCCGTTCTCTATTATCTGGCGCATACCCAAAGGTAACGACTTGGAAGAATAGAGAAAATTGGCAAAGAGATACAAGAAGAGTCTTCTGAATTCTATGTTTACGTCGTGGATGGATTTGGTGCGTTGATATGAAGAGAGAAGAAGACCCGTCGGAAGAGCCGAGCTTCGCAATAATATTAAGATCTCTATTTTGGAAAGCATTTTCTTAATTGAATTGGAGAAAGACTTGTAGCTGAACAGACAAAGGCTACATACTTTTGAAAAAAATATACGACGAAATTTCTTCGTGCTTAGAAATCAGAATTGGAATCAAACTCAAGATTGGCGCCGGCCATTCGTCCAATCCGGATGTGATAGATATTGGAAATTTCGAGAAAGGAAGAAAGAAGGGAACAAGCAAAGAAGATACAGGAAAAGGTGGAAGAAAAAGAAAAGATTAGAAAGGGAAAGGAAAAGGACGAGACGACGGAAGAAAAGGAGACTATACATCCAGAAGAAGCAAGGTCAGAGCACATACAATGTGCGCGGAAGATCCGGCCATTGGGCAACAGATTGCTGGTATAAGGACAAGTAAGATAACAAAGGCGAAAAAAAAAAGAAAGGCAAAATAAAAAATAAAAGCAAAGCGAAAGGAGCCAACAATAGAGGAAGTCGATGCCGAAGAAAGCAAGAATCAGAAAAAGAGATTGGGTTTCTGCTGTTGTATGCTCTAGAAAAAGAAGAAAGAGAGAGAAGGGCTCTGGTAGCAAGGGCTCGGGGCACAAGGAATTGGAGAGAGTAGAAGTAAAAGACGGGCGTCATCCATAGCCAGTTCGGGCAGCGGAGAGCTCGATAGAAAGTAGCTCCCTGAAGCCGCGATGGGACCCAAGGAGAGCATATGATTCGAAGAGCGTGAAGGGCTGAAAAGATAAGAAAAGAAAAGAGAGAGTAAGGAAAAGAAAAGAAGAGTAAAGAGAAGAAGAAAAAAGGTGTCGGACAAGAGAAAGGAAAAGAGGAAGGACAGGAGAAAGGATACGGCGCTGGTGGTGAGCTATCAGCTGCTTCGGCCGTGGTCGCTGCTGCGGGGGCTCCTAAGCTTCCCGGAGTGCCAGAAAAGATCCGGCAGCTTGCAGAGAAGCGTGCCAATAAGCGTGTTCAGGAAGATGCCGAAGAAGATTGGCGAGAGCAGCCTGATATGAGTTACCGCCACAGGCTCATGGCGGCTAGAGAGGCAGTAATAGGAAAGAAAGGAAATATTGCCCAGGCGCTGAACCAATAGATACTTCGCGACACCACAGGTCTGGACGAGGCATGCAGCAACTGCGACGACAGGGCCAAGAAGCTGAAGAATGTCGTCCGGGCTTTCGCTCGGAAGTCGATATGAAAGGACCGCGAGAGGATGATAGTAGCGGACAAGAAGAAAGAGAAAAAGAGATTAAAGGGGAAAGAAATAGAGATTGAAGAAAAAATCTCTATGGATACGAGGCTGACCTCAAGGAAACTGAGGAAAGAACGGAAGCGGACAACGAGGAGCCAATTGACCTGGAAGTGGAAGAGGTCGCCGCAACTCTTGTGAAAGAGCTCAGTCTACACGAGGATCCCGGCGAGCTAGAAGAAGCACCAAAACCCGAAGGTGTGCCGGGGCAACGCAACATGGGTTCCTCCTGCTCTGTGCTTATGCACAGGGCGATGGAGAGCCTTGAGCTTGGAAGGCTCTGCGTAAAGAGAAACGAATTGCAGAAGAAAACTGAAGAGGCAGAAGATGTAGAGACCCATGACTAAGCCGAAGAAGTCCTAAAGGTCATCCTCGAGAAGATCCGTGCGTTGAAGGAGTACGTTAAATCAAGTAATAGAATGAAGCCGACGAAACTTATCGAAGAGACCCGCGCTGATAAAAGCTTCCACGGCATTCGGTACTACAAGGCCATCGAAGCAGGAGAAAATAAGAGAGCTGCCTGGAAGGCAGAGAAGAAGAGGCGTAGGGCGACCCTCTTTAGGATGAAGATCGCAGCGGAAAGAGCTCAGAAGAGAAAGGAGCTGGAAGACCGGGGGTGGCCGAATTTCAAAACGAAGAAGTTAAAGAAGGAGACTACGAGGAAGCTGGATGCCGACGACATCGAGACGGAGGTGTTTCGTCCAGGCGAAGGGGCCATCAAGATGGCCCACGGTGCGAAGGCAGTGGCCAAGAAGCGTGTGTGTAGGGCGCTCTCCAAGGAGGAGCTTTCGAAGTTCCATGAAGACCTCAAGGAGAATGAGCTGGCACTGCTCGTAAAGCCGCGAGGCGGCAGCACTACAGGTAGAGAGCCAACGGCAGGAAGAGGTAAAGCAGGATGATATGGACAATACGCAGAGCAAGTGCTTCCGGAGAAGGCAAGAAGATAGAGATATATGATGATGCTAGATATGAAACGGAAAGAGAATATAGACCCAAGAAGTTGTGGCAAAGCTTGGGATTATGACAGAATATTTGGAAATTAAAGAAAAATATCAAGAACAGTGAGCAGTGCGTGGTTCCAAACCTGTAAATATAAGAGATATTCATGAAATTCTAAGACTTCCATTAAATAATATTATAGTTTTGGAGGTCCTGCTAAGGGCACCAGAAGATGGGTTTTCAATATCAGCAGGCCTAGGAAGGTGGGCCTTTATAAGATAAATATTATGTTTTTGGGCTCCTTCGAATTTTTATTTGGGATCCTTGGGATCTTATTTCAAAATTCTAGGACTTAATTGGAGAGCTAGCTAGTATTATTCATAGCTAACTTTTATATTTGACTCTAGACGTATATAAATGTAGTGGGCATACCCCGGTTCAAGTTCGATTTTCTACTGAGGCCGAGGGGGAGAGGGAGAAAAAATAAGAAAAAAGAGTCTTTATAAATCAAGTTTCGAATTTTAGGATTCGAGTTGCCTACTAAATTTTTCTTATTTCTTTATTTTCTTTATTCTTTATTTCTCCTTCCCTATTTCATATTTCTTCATATTTTTTTATAAAATTATTCTTATCTTATTCAATTTTTGGCAAGACTTCATATTCCTTATTAGATATATGTATTTCCACTTTTTATTTTAATAATATTTTCTTTAATTAATAGAATAAATATTAAATAAAAAAATAAATATATAAATAAGTTGAAAGAATATTATATAAGTATATATAAAGCATTAAAATAATATAGAATTTAATAACCATTATTCATTTCTTATATAAAATTTCTATTTGTATTATAGAGTATTTTCTTCCTTATTATATATATCTCTCAGTTAAAGTCATAATTTTTCGGATTTCTATATATCTTACTTCCCACAAAAATATCCAAATAAGAAATTTAAGAAGAAAATATCATAGAATCTAATTATAAAAATCTCCACGACAACAATGATATTAATAATAAGGCCTATTAAATGATTTATTTCGACCATCTTATTTCCATAAATATGTCGTAATTTCTCGAATATCTTTCAATAAATCAATTAATCTTCATAGATTCCCGACGCGACGTATTTAAAATTATAAATGAATCTATCCATGAATATTTGGCATTTCTTAATCGATATCTATCCTTCCCCTTCGCCTCTCCCTTCTTGGCCATGCCATGGCAACGAGCACAAACCCTGGTTTGTTGTTTAGTGAATGGTGGCTGCGCGCATTCGGGGTAAGGCTTTCTATCTTTGGGCGCCTTTTCTCGACCTTGCTGCTCAGAGGCCCAGGTGTGCGTCTGCGACGAGGGCAGTCGAGGCTCTCAGCACCTTGAGATCTTGGAGCGGCTTGTCTTGTGCATTCGTCGCCACCGACCCGATCTTCTGCACCACCTGGAGCAGAACGGGACGCGAACGACAGAGCAGCGGGCACAACTCTGCGGCCTTCATGCCACGCTTCACTCGACCGAAAATGGCATGCTTGCCATCCAGCGACGGCTGAGGCCTGCGAGGGGAGGAGGAGCGGGAGATTTGGCAACGGTTCTCAGCTTCCCACGACAAGGTGATGAAGAACTGGGAACCTTGAAAGACTTGAAAGATCAAGCATCTGTCACTTCCCGTCCCCCGCTGTCTGCTCAGAGCTGTGCCATTGCTGTCCTGCCCTGAGTTCCTCAGACAAGACCGCTGGCACCACTGCATAAGGCAACAGGGCGTTGGAGGATTCTGAGTGTCGTCGGGGACTCGACAACACCTCAAGAAGTAAACTCGAGATCGTTCACGTGGTTCGCGAAAAGTCCGGAGGCACAACATGCCACCACTGCTTCTGCAAAAACGTCAGAGCGTTCGGCATAACAGGGAGCTCTGCAAACGAAACGCAGACTCGTGACTCAAGGGTAATCCGAGGAAACATACGGGTGAGCAACCTGTCGTTTGTTCAATTTTCCTCAACTCCACGGCATCGCCCACGCGATCTGTAGTTGGTTCGCGAACTTGCTCGTGCAACCGAAGCATCTGCAAGAATGAGGTCTCGTGACTCGGGGCCCGGGCGCCATCGAAAGGATGCCGGCTCCGGTGTGCTTGAGGCCTCAAGGCTTCAAGTGGAAGTGCCGCAGCTAATTTCGAAGGCTTGCTCAACCTGGATGGATCTCGTCTTCGAAGGTCGGTCCATAGATCGACTCGCCCCCACGTCCGGTTCCAGTCGGATCTCCTCCCTGAGGCCGCGCTCAGGAGCTCGCTCTCTCCCTCCATCTCTCAGCAGCACACATGACGGCCTGAATCACAAAATTCGTCACAATCCGATGGAAGAGCGTGTTGTCCTCAAACGAGGTCTTGTCTGCACGACAGGTCACTGAAAGAGGGTCTAGGGAGGCGATTTCAGGCGAGTGGCATAGTAGCTCCTCTTGGCCAACTCGAAGAAGTTCATGCCTCGAAAGCGTCTTAGGCCTCGACCGTCAAATTGCCCCAAAGGGCCCCTTTGACGAGTTGCAAGTTCTGGGCGCGTGGTTCCAATACAGCTCGACCTCAAGGTCCAGCCGAAAGTTTCATCTGCCGCCGGAGCAAATCATACGGTTTAACAGATGCGGCCTCCACTTCTCCCATGGAGGTGTACAGTATCACTCCTCCACCTGCATGCATGCTTTTTTGCTCTCCGACCGTCTTGGCATCTGCCGTCTGTCATTTGTACTAGATTGCACTCACAGGATCTCCCGGCCAACACATCCTTCTCCTTTGATTCCCACTCCCTGGTCACTTCTTGGCCTTTCCGAGCTCTTGCACTCCCCTCTCCCCGTATCGCCAGGCGTCTCCGCTTCCGTAAACTTCCTCTTCCTTCCTCACTTGGTCCTCCCAACCTTCCCCCTCTCCGTCATCGCAGGCCTTAGGCCTTCTTCGAGTATGTCCTATGGCCGTGGCCGTTGCGTCACGCTTGATGGTTTGGAGCGGATGCTGCCCTGAGGCTCAGGCTTGGAGACGTTCCTGGCACCAGCCTGGGACCAGTGCAGAGATTTCCCACTACGTCACTACTTCTTTCCTCCCTCTCTCCGGCAAGGCCGCGGCGCCATGGCGCGTTCCGCGGAACGTGTTCCGCTCCTAATCCCTCCTTCCCCGACGGGCCACCCCTATTTGGGCCCAGGTCTCTGCAAAAGGGAAGACATCCCACGACACGCCGTCTCACACTCAAGGCTGCCCTACAACGCTATCTTCGCCATACTTTTTCGGCCTGGACAGACCTCTCGCTCACACCTGCCGTCAGCCGTCACGGAACTGCACACCAACACATCTTCCAAGACTTGGTGGAACCTCGAGGTGCGGATGGAAAGGGCGTCCGATTCTCTTCCATGCCAAAGCCTGCGAGCTCAAAGCTTCACACGCTTCCCAATCGACCCACTGCCGGACCTGTCGCAAGTGGTCCTCAACAGAGCGCCGGTCGCGGTCGGCATCTCCCTCCTCCACCTCCTGCCTTGAGCCTGACTCCACTGGACTGGACCTCACTCCAACTGAGCGCCGGCTAAGCGGCCGCACCTTCGCCTTCCGCCGTCGCTTCCACATTCGTCGACGAAGGCGGGGTCGGGGACGAAGAACTTCCGCCCTCACCCTGCAGCGTACCCAGACACATACACACATACACACACACACACACAAACAAACACGCACACTTGGAACGACCCTCGATACAGCCCAAGCTGTAACATAGGCTAATCAGATAGATATCTTTAATCGCATGTTCTTGAATCGTTTCTTTAGTTGTGCAATCTGATCATGCCCGTCCATCTTTTCTTCACTTCGTTGGCCTCATACGAAACAACAGTATTCACTAGTGCATCTTGGGACGGCCATGTTCACAAGATGCCGCAACTACGTGAGCCAGGCGCCCCCAGCTCATATCAGACATTTCTAAGAGCCTCTGCGTTGGAATGCAACGGCTACAAACGAGGCAGTCCCCCTGCATCATACACTCTCCGGCTGCTTGTTCTAAGCTTTGGCAACATGTCTTCAGACGTACGCACGCATCTCTTCTTGAATCCCATAACTGCGAACGACTGGCAACATCATCTTCCATTAGAAATGCTTCACTGCTTGGGTTTGAGAAACTTGTTGCGAATTTGGGCAAGTTGAGCTTCCTGATAAGGTCTCGGCTCATATTGATCATGAAAATCTTGCGTTTGCGGAGACTCTTGATAAGCACCCGTGGATACGAGACATACAATGATAACGGCCAATTTAGCCTGCAGTCGCTGGCGGAATATGTGTGAGCTAAATGTGAGACACATGAGTGCAATCACATACAAAGCTGCAACTGGGGGTCCTAAGCGGGAAAAGTCTTCAACACCCCGACCCCGCCTACGAAACGTCTTCAAGCTTCGCGGAATGAAGAGTGGTCTTTCCGAAGATTTGCCCGTCCCCTTCTCAACAGCTGCACGAAGTATATACTTCATTATGCACTCAAACAGGACTAGGCTGTCTTCCCTTGAGCATTTCCGCAAGGATCGCTGGCTCGTCATTCCACTATACAGTAGTGCGCAGCTACAACCAGTCTGCATTGTCTCTGAAGGCTTGGATAGGCTGGATAGGTGATCACAAGATTGATTTGCTTTGTGATAAAGAGCTTGCTGCGTACCGTTTTTGTTTGAGCAAATCCAATTGGATGTTTGAGGCACTTCGAGCTCGTCGGATTCAGCAAAGCTCCACGGTTCACACTTTCGTCTCCAATAACCGTCCGGGATTGACACCAAATTGGTGCTTTGAAGCTTCTGACAGCATTCACATTCAGCTCACGCATCCGTCATTGGCGACTATGTGCACAGCGCAGGCTATGTGCAAGGTTCCATCCGATCAATGATGTAACAGTGACGCTACCAGTTGAAGGAATGGCGCAACATGAGCATGATACAAGAACCATGGAGCGCCGTAACAAATCTTCGACTCTTAGACGGCTTGAAACCACGTCTGATTTCATCTCTGCCTTTTTTGGGAATCTGCCTTGCATAAGGGTTTCTGCAACGCTCGGACAGGAGGTATGCGTAACCTTGTGACCATGTCACATACACTCGCGGACCTCAAATAGCCGGCGAAGTTGCCTTCGCTGTTGGCATGCGTTTGGATGTGAGGGTACTTGATGATCTCTGGCAAATGCTGCAGTAGGCTCACGAGCCTCCTCTGCTCTGCTTGCGGCGCTTGCGTTTGCTTTTGCAGCGACATTGGCACGCTCGCTGTCACGTTGCTTGAGCAGATTGGGACACAAAGCTGAACGATTTGAGGCGACCTCAATAGGCTTTGTAGTAGCCGAAGCACTAGATCCCGCAACGGTGACGTTCACCGCGATCTTTGGCTGAGTCGTCTTCGGAGCTTTCCATGCCGGCCGAAGTCGGACAGCAAGGCCAAAGGAAATCCCGTAAAGCACGCAACTCAGGAGGTGCGATCATTCCAAATTTAGTCCTCCTGCGCATGTAGGAGGTGCCAACGGCCAAGTTTTCAGGGCACGCCGATGTTCTTACGGTGTCTGCGACTTAGGAGTTTGATTGCTCACAGTGGCAACCAACGGAATCTGCAGAATCCCAACACACCGAAGGATCCGCTCAGCACCGAACTTTCTGAGAGTCCTTGCAGTGCCTCGCCATCTCGACCTCTGCGACACCGCAACGGCCGGCAGCAGAAGCGAAGCTGCAGTGAGCCTTCTTTGCCAGCTCGGTCTCAAGCCTAAGAGAGAGAGAGAGCCGTGCAATAAGTTATGCCGCGCTCCGCTCTGGCTCGCTCTGGCTCGAGGTCCGAGCTCGGCACTGCTCTCTTTGTCGACGTTCCCTCGTCAGCTCCATGGCTTGCGCGGCGGACTGCCTGGCCAAGGACGGAAAAAAGGCTTGGGGCTGCCAGGTGTGAAAGGGTGTGCTTCGTCTCTGTACCTCTGCGCGTGCTGTAGCGCCGCGGTCAGCTGCTCGACGAGAGCGTAAGGAACACCTGTCAGGGAGATCCAAAAGCATGTTGCACCCCGCCATACTCAAGTGCTTCCCTCACTAGAACTCAGAATTCTACCAAGCGGCTGAATTGGCCATCATCTTCCGTCTGGGAAGGCGCAGGCACCTCGGGCAAAACATGAAAGTGACACCTGGCTTCAAGCAGCGAAGGCATCGGAGCCTCCAGACTTGCACCCGCATCTCTTTCAACAGTGGCACACCGAATGCTTTGTCCAGCGTGCACGTGAAACCATGCATCACTGCGGCAGCGAATCAGCCACGGTCAGGAGCGAAGATCTCTCCAATTTGCATCAGCTCTCCGTTGAAGTCGAACTCGACGTGCCGCACCTCGCCACTCCTCAGCAGGAGCGCGAAGTGCGTGTCCATGATCCAGATCCCATCCACGATGGAGCTACCCCAGGTTGCGTCCACGCTGTACACACGTTCGATGCTTGCACCGTGGCCGAGAAAGAGCGTCACAGCCCGGGTCTCGTCCATGGCTGCCACAAGGATGCGGTCGCTGCTCTCCGTCAAAGCCAGCTCCGAGGGTCCGTCCCAGGGACTTGAGAGGCTCTGGCTGCGACTGTTTCGGCTCTCAGCTTTGGAGCTCCGCCCAGTGCTTGTGCCGGCGCCGCTGGCGCTTGCGACGTGGCTCGCCTCCCTCCCCCTGCCCGGGCTCTCACAGCTCTGCGCGGCCAGATGAGTCACAGGATAGTGAAGCACCAGGCAAGCCTGCTGAATTTTGGTGTGTAGAGACACCTGCCACCATCGTATGATCATGGAGGCATAGGAGACCACCAAACTACAGCCTCCGCTACCAGCATCGCTGGGGAGGAGGGCGGCGCAAAGGGGTATGTCCATTCGAGTCTGCCTTGATGCGGAGTCACCCAACAGCATCTGATCATAGACCCTCCAGTCAGAGAAGCTCAAGATGCATAGCCGGTTGCTCCTCCACAAACACAGCAATCCCGAAGTCTGGTTCCTGTCCTCTTGGAAGCTCTGACCCTCAAAGCTCGTGGCCATCACCAGCCTGTCCATCTCCGTCTCCTCAGCCCTCGTCTCCGCGACGACGGGCGGCGGCGGGGCCGGCGGGGCCGGCGGCCTGGGCGGCCAGAACGCCTCCTCTGTCCAGTTGGACCTCGGCGGCGGCCCACCGCGGTACAAGTCGATCACCTTCACGGAGCCTTCCAAGTCCTGCGGAAAAGAGAGCAGAGAGCAGAGGCGAGAGCTTTGCGAGAAAGGCGATTGAGAGAAGGGAAAAAGCTGCCCTCACGCTCTCTCGCTCAAAAGACTTTATAAGGGCGTCCAGCAGCAGCGCGACTTCGGGTCTGCCCTCCGCCGCAGCAATGGCCACAAGCGTCGAGCCCTGCGGGCCAGCACAAAGGAATCGGACTTCCACAGGATCCATGGAGGCGCCGACACTCGACCGCCTCAGCGAAGTTAATAAGAACTTTCAAAGCTGCGGCACGCGTGCGAGCAAACCTGTGGGCCGCACAGAGAGCCCGAGGAGCCCGAGGCCTGCACTGGAGATCTTCCCAAGGCCAGCGAGGCCACTGATGCCACGGTAGCTCCACCGGAGATAGTTGCAGCTGCTGCACACGCTGGGGACCGAGGCTTCGAACTTCGAAGAGCTGAAAAAGGAGTGCTCCGCCTGGAAGGGTCCCGGCGACTGCGAAGTGACTTCCTCCTGCAGGCCCCAAAGCTGCAACCCGCAGCCCGAGGGAGCCCTCTCCTCGCCCGGAAACCAAGGAACGCCGCCTAGGGGATGCCTCCGCACTCATGCGGAAGCTCTGCCAGGCACAGCGATGGCGAAGGTCCCAAAGAGTGATGAGGCCACCTCTCTCGGCGATCACATAGAGTGATCTCTCGGGACTCTGGAGTGGAAGCAGGAGTGCCGAGGCCTGGCGCTGCATGCACCCCTTTTCTGCCTCCTTCAGATGCTCCGGAGGCACCTCTTCCTCGGCCGGATCCCAGAGACCCGTCCAGTCGCGTGCAGAAGATAAGGCCGACAGAGCCGCGTTGTTCGCGAAGGTCCAGACGTGGTAGCGGGGACCCGTCTCCACGCGGTCCAGCTTCAGGAGTTCCCGGTCCTTGGTGGAAAGGATCTCCTCCGTAGTCAGCTCCCGCCACTTGGGCAACTTCCGAGAGGTGAAGTCCTCGACGGTGAGGGTTGGCTCCAGAACGAAGGTGCACGGATCCCAGCCGGGGCAAAGGATGGATCGGTGCGATTCCACCAACAACGACTGCCCGGCACCGCCTTGGCGCAGAGGAGCGTCGACCCGCACGAAGGCCACAGGCTGCCTCAAGGCGATACGCGAGAAATACGCAAGTCTTCTGCATACCTTGCGGCAGGCTTCCGGAGTCTGACAGCTTTTTTTCAATCTTCGGAACTCATGCTTCGATCTAAATCGCTGGCTCTTTGCAATCTGGACAGCAAGCTGAACTTCGGCCTCATCCGAAGTCACGCTTTTGGGTGAATCCGAGAGACTTAGGCATTCCCAAGCCACATTCATTCTTGAATGTCCCTTGGCAAAATGCCTGAACAAATCCTGCCACAACGTTGCAGTCAAAAACTCCACGGATTGCACCGCCTCAAATCTCTTGGGCACCGCATTGGCACAGCATTCACTTGAACAAAATCGATTTTGTTCGGGGTCCTGGGGCACATAACCATGCACGACAAAGCGAAGCTGTCCAGCAAGAGTCGTCTTTCGAAAGTCCAAAAGTACTCGCATGCTGTCCCTTCGCCACGGCGATGCACCTGGGATGTGACCTCGATCACGCTTCTGGATTCTTGTTGAGACGAAGCCTGCTACCTTTCCGTTTAAGCCATGATAGGGCTTGGCAGAAGTCCGACAGTATTAGACACAGACCCACCAAAACCAGGAGGTAAATCTACCAACATCAACCAGAATATGGCACTCTTCCCAGACATGAATATATCTTACCGAAATGAAACGAAAATGAGGCATACCATCTCACCGAAATTATGGGTTTTGTTGTTGAGTTGGGAAGTGCTTTGTGTTTTGCTTGTGTTCGGGACTGTGTTTTGGATCCGTGTGTTGCTTGTGGTGAGTTGCTTTGGGAGGTGCTTTGTGTATTGGTGGTTTGAAGGGTTGAATGTTAGGTCCTGTTAGGTGGGTTGAGAAATGCTGTGAAAGCGTAGCGGGGGTATTTGATGTGAGGTGTGGGGTTAGCATCTGCTTGCTGTAGGGGGGCGTTGGAGGCTGGAGCTCTCGGAGAACTTCTCTTCATGGCTCCAGGCATGCAGGCAGCCCAGTGTTGCACCAGGCTCAGTTCCCCAGTACGGCCATTTTTGGCGTGTCAGACTGTGCCGTGCTTGCAAATCAGTTTGAGCATGTCTTCGAGCACTCTGAGTTTGAGCCGAAGAGTCACGGAGACGTGCTGATTGCTGATCTCAGAAGGTGGAGATAGCTGCAAATCACTTAGAGGTGCTTTGGCAGTGCTTTGCCACTGCCAGGCCTTCCAGCGCTCCGCAGCCGCGCCGCCACCAAGGACTCGATCCACCTTCGGAGCGATGCGCAGACGGCAGTCTGCAGAATAGAGTGGCCCTGGCGACGGAAGCGCACGGCGCGCGCCTGAAGCCTTGATGCCACGCCGCCACCTGCAACTCTGGGTGCGCCTGCGTGAGAGAAGAGAAAGAGAGAGAGCGAGAGAGAAGAAGAAGAGAGAGAGAGAGAGGGAGAGGGAGAGAGGGCCCTAAAACTAAGAGAGCTTTTGGCGCTGCTCTCGCCGCACCTTGGCCAGGGCCTGGTCCAGCTGCAGGGGAGCGGAGCAGGGGTTCAGGAGGAGCGACGGGGAAGGGGAGAGCTTCAGGAGCTCCGACCACTTCTCTGGATCCTCCACCTCGCTTCCAATCAGGAGCCCGACGACTCCCAGGCCCTCCATCTCGAAGTTCGCGGCAGCGCTGCCCTTCCGGTGCTGTCGAAAGTCCCCCGAGGGGTCAAAGGTCACGCAGGTGTCGTAGACGCGCTCCTCGCTCGTTTGGGTGGCCTCGCACCGCTCCTCCACGCTGCCCAGGACGATGTAGATTTGACGCTGCTTCGCGAGCCGAGCCAACATCATGATGGCCACGTTGTGGTAAGAGAGCTCCCCGTAATTCGTACATTGCAGAGGGTGATCCAGAGAGAATTCTGGCAAAACGGCCAGATCGACTCGACGATTCCGGGTCTCTCGCAGCAAGATGTCGAGAGTCTGTACATACGTTAGCCTTGGGGTCTGGAGGACCAACACCCGCATCTCGCCGTACCATCGCTCAGATGTGGAATGCGAAGACGTCTGAAATCATGCTCGGAGCTCTCTGGGCATGATACAACCCGCAACTGCCAAAAGGGCCTAAAAAGGGCCTTGCTCCTAAAATTCGGGAGTTTCAGCCAAACAGCTCTGGGGAGCCCTCTCTGTGTCTACACTGCTTGCGGCTGCGCGTTCACTCCGGGTTCCCGACCTTTCGAGCACCCCTGCAGTCCTCCGGCAGTGGCGGGGAGCCGCTTCCAGGGCCCAGGGCGGAACCGCTTCCGCCCGCTGCGTCGAGTGCGTCCAGGGCCCCGTGAAGCCGGCGCTCCTCTGACCCAACGGCAACGAAGGGAGGAAGGGAGGGAGGGAGGGAGGGAGGGAGGGAGGGAGGGAGTCTGCACCTTCTCCACGAGGAGGGTGCGGAACTGAGCCACCTGTGCCGCCCATCCACACGGTTCTCTGCAATTCAAAGGTCGACTCTGAGCTTGGAACTTGGCGCCTAGTGGACCGGTGCTCGCTTCTACACAACCGGAATCTAGGCCGGCTCACAATGCTTTGCGACTTTTTCCCGACATCCAGCCAGAACTTTCCAGGGGTTGAGTCGAGCATGGAGGCACGGTCAGAAAAAAGCCAACACCCATCTGCAAACCTGCGTCTGCAGTGATTTTTCGAGCAGAGTCTCACCAGAAAAGCGAAGAACAAGCTCTGCAGCTTCTGCCGAAACAACGAAAAGCTGCATCCCTCGATAAGGGCAGGGAAGGACGGACACGTTTCAGAGTAAAACCACAGAGTAAAACCACAGAGTCTTCACTTCAGGCCTGGGTCTCCAGCCGGGCGCGCTCGATGTCCTGGGCAGGGATATATCACATTGAAAAAGCGGGGAGAAAGGGACAAAGAAGTACCGGCCGTCGCCTTGAGGCTCAGCTGTGCCGTCAGCTGCTGGACCTTCAGCGGCCAAGTTTCAGGAAAAAGGAAAAGGATCCAAGGGCTGCCGTCGCGAGCCGTGACCGCGAGCCTGCGAGCGTGCTCGCTTCAATGCTCTGGAAGCTGAGCAAAGCTTCTTCTCCTGTGCCTAGGCCCCAAGCATCTCCCCGCCCCCGCCCCCCCCCTGCCCGCTGGCCGCTCTCTGCCTGCATCCTGCCTGCATGTGCAGCTCCATCGCCTGCCAGGCCTCTATGACTCTATGGCACTATGGAATGGGAAGAGGAAAGACAGGCACACGCACTGCTTCCGCAGCAGGGCTCTGTGGCCTGCTGCGAGCCCGGGGGGGAGCCACGGACCTCTGACCTCGGGCGCGCAAGCAGAAGCAGAAGCTGCCTCAGCTGCGCTGCGAGCCAGGCACTTTCGAGGTCTGGGTGGTCTGCGAGACGTCGCCATGCTCAGGACGCTGGACCTCCTGTGGAGCAGCAAGCATCTTTGTAATGGCATACAAGTTCATAGAAGGGAAGGAAGCACAAAACCGCAGGTCGGAGTCCTCTTCGTCGGTGGGTTCCTCCTCGCTCTCGCCTCCGCCGTGTCCTGTTGTGCATCGCTTCTCGCGAGTTTGAGCGGCTTCCATTCGAGCCATGCGTGCGGGCCTGACTCAGCGGACTGCCGCCACAGCCACATCTCAGTCTCCGCAGCGTTGAAGCCATGCGACAAGCCGAGAGCAATCGCTTCTGGAGTCGTGGTGTCACGCACTTGTATTAGTCGAAACCGAAACAAATCGAAACACTTTCGGGCACCGGTGAAAACGACTTGACATGCTGGGACACGTGACACCCCTGAAAGGTCTTGCAAGTCTTGCAAGACACGTGCTCGGCCGGTGAGTCTTTTTGCAAGGAAACCACACGACATCATGAAGCGTCAAGCATGAAGCTGATTTCTATGCACGAACACACCCGAGCATGGACATGTCGACAGAAATGTGCACATGCGCACATCTTGAGGTAAAGCGGCTGACAACGGCTCTTTCTTCTAAAGCACCGTGAAAGCTTGTAAAAAAATGCATATATGGAAGTCCGAATATGAAAATTGTATAAATCATTCCACTCTTTCCAATATAAAAATTCATACGGAACAAGCCAGCCGTCGCACATTTCTTTCACAACCCCTCTACCACGTTTTCTTCTCTGCACTCTTCGACTGTCACAGACGCCCAGCGCTGCAGCACAGTCCACGGAGCCCTAAACCCTAAACCCTAAACCCCTAAATTTTAGAGGACTTCGGCCGAATATGCGCCAGCGCAGGTTGTGGTTCTAGAGTGAAGGGGTTCAGAAGGGGTTTAGAGGGTTTAGGGGAAGCTCAGAAGGGGTTTAGAGGGCGTCTAAAGTGGTGTTTAGAGGGGGTTCAGAGGGAGGGGGTTTAGAGCGGGTTTAGAGAGGGTTTAGTGGGTTTAAAAGGTAAGAGGGGGTTTAAGCGGGTTTAGAAGGCGTTTGGAGCGGGTTTAGAGGGGGTTACGGTTTAGTCGGTCTAGAGGGTGTTTAGAGTTGGTTTAAAGGGGGTTCAGAGGGGGTTCAGAGCGGGTTTAGAAGAACGCAATAAGGATGTTCCAGGGGTCCTGATGGAACGTAGCGGGTTCGCACTGACAAGGGAGGTTCTGCGAACTGGACGACTGCGTCCAGAGCAAACCTTGAGATGAGCTGCCTACTGACGTGGAAGGCTGCCGACGTACGCACGGATAGGCAGCTCCGTCCCCGCTGTCAGATGCAAATATGGAGTCGTGATCAGTTTCACCCGTTTGCAACGTTAAACGTATCTCAATACTGCTCTGCTCGCTGGCAGTATTATCGTTTCCGAACTGTTGTCTTACAGCTACAGAACAATTTGCTACCGGGTTTACCCCGATTGTGTGTGTGGCCAGAGGATCTAGCTTTAAGTAACAAGAGCGCAGCGTTTTCCAGCAGGGGAGTGTGGCACTTGCATCCTACCACACTCAACGAAGCTGTGGATGCAAGTGGGAAGCAAGACCTGATCAGTTTGTGCACCTGCTTTCGGATCAGCCATGGGCCCCCTGTGGCACTGGAAATGATTGAAGCGAAATTGGGTAACAAGCTAACACAAACAGCATCCATCTGGGTAAGGATGATTGGTCTGCAAGTGTGTGTGCTTAGCTTTCTGTGATTGTGAGCTCATGATGGACTGGACGCTCCATGCTTATTCAGGTCCAGCTTGGTCACAAAGGTCACCACTCCGGACGAAAGGTCCCTAGTACTGCAACTGTAATCAGCACATGTATTTCCGGAAACCGTCCAACATGCGAAGGCTGTTAGCTTAGCTGGTTGTGAGGTGGGGGGGTTCTGGCATTTGCAAGTTGCGGTGTTGGGCTTCTGGTTGTGGTATCGGGGTTCTGGTTGTAGTAGGGAGCAGTTGCGGGGGCCCTCAGAAGGGAAAAAAAATAGATGTTTCTTGAAATGTTGGAGTATATCCCCTACCAAAGGCTAATTCCACCTGAAGCAAACCGTTTGGAAGGGAACTCCTGGAACAGCTAGCAGTAGCAGCAAAATCCCTTAGAATTCAGCGAGACGCATCACGAAGAGACTTAGCGCACAAAGTGTTAAACTCCGACTGCGTTTTTGGTTATCCATGATTCAACATCTTGAAGGGATGGCCACTGACCGTAACTCTCGAGAGCTAGGGCAAAGGAAGGATCACACGACCGCGGAATTGCCCTGTTTCTCATCCCAGCACATGCTTGAATCGAGTACTGTGCCCCGAGCGTAATGGAAAGACTCCGAAATGGACACGGCAGGCACAGATGGACGCGGTGCAGCGACAACATGGATACGATTCGACCAGCGTATGTCGCTGGCTGCATATGCAGATTGACGGCAATGGTAGCTGCACTTTGAGAATGTCCTCGCCCTCTCAGCAGCCTGCTTGCAGGCATGGCATCTTAGAGACTTAGCAGAGAGGTTACAGTACCGCGTCCGGTGATTTTGAACGGCGGCTTGTTTGCCAGCCCGTGGGCGTATATGCTGTCCGCACTTCAGGTACAGAGCTATAGTTGTAGCCAGCGCTCAGGGTGCGGTCAGCATATGCGGTGACACGGAAGGTGAAAAAGCAGAATGTGAACAGTTGGCAGGGTCCCGCTCTTCAATGAGGTGCCTCGCACGTTTGCAGTCAACAAACGCAAGATATTTAGCTAGAGGATGAAACTTCCCGCACAGGCCAAGGAGGGTGCCATCGACGATGGCACGGGCCTGGCAGAGCCACGTGCAAAATTCCGCGGTTTCGCAGCTGTCTGCACTTCTGGGGTGTGGACGCGCCGAAGGCGTAGCCAGAACCAAAGGCCTCCGGTGACCGCGGCCGGGTTTTTCGCAGGGCCAGGCCGATCTTCGCCCGCTGGGTCCCGGACCGGTCCCTGTCTGGGCACCGCAAAGGAGCCAGGCTGACAGGAACAGAGTGAGGTGAGAGGTTCCTTTTTGAGCCCGAGCTCCGCACAGTTGCAGGGCCAATGGGCTGCGCCATGCTTGCTGCAAGAGGCCGATAAGACCTTCGGCAAAGCTGGGCGGATGCAGATGCTGCTCTGCTCTGCTGAGTGCTGAGCACCCCGACGGGGTGTTTAGACGACGGAGCTCCTCGTGCAGGGCATCGATGTACGCGGCTTGCCTTCCAAGCGAGGCTTCGGTCTTTCTGAACCGTGCTCGCACTCGCAGCCACGCGCAGCCACGCGCAGCCACGCGCAGCCAAGCGTCTGCTTGTGGGAGGCGATGAGCGCCTGCCGACCGCCATTTGCAGAGCGAAAGGCGAAGCCTCACAGCGGTTCGAGTTTTGCGCCTTCAGGTCAGGGCCTGCCGCGATACGACACTGCCGGCACACTTTGCACACTTTGCACACCGCCCCCCTTTCTTTACCCTGCCTGCTTGGGTCTTCACATCCTCAGAGTGAGCTGAGCCAAAACTGGACACGGGAGCTCTCTGAGGCCTCGCCGACGAAGATCCCAAAGGTGGATCTCGAGCCCTGCTGCACCTCGAAGAGTTCTTTAGAGCCAAAGGGGGAGTGCTCCCCTCTGTTCCTCTGTTCCTCTCTCTCTCTCTCTTCTTCTCTCTTCGTCCCTTCGCCTCGAAGGAGGAGCCGATCACGGACAAGCAGACCTTGGGCCTCAGGGGGTTCTTAGAGTCTTAGGCGGTACTTAGAATCTGATTCGGTCTCCGTGGGGGGCCGCACTGGTAGATGTCGTTCACCGAGTCCGCGTAAGACTCGCGAGGTTCGCAGTCTCCATAACAACGCCTCCTGCCACGCCTCCTGCCGGCCCTGCGTGTGCCTGCTCGAACTTGGTGACCAGGGACTGGAGGTCCCCGGCGGGCATCCGCGGGTCCGTCCTCCACCAAACAAGAGCTCCCAGTTCTGCAAAATGCTCTGGGCGCTTTTGCCGCTGCGCTGGGGCCGGGCACTTGGTGTCCAGGTTGAACCACTGCTGGAAGATGCCTCCAACTGATGCCTACTGAAACTGAGAAACAAAAAAAAACGCGTTTAAACCGCGCTAATTACAGTAGCGGGCCGAGCCTGAGCTGTAGCGTTCTGCTAACCGTTCCACAGGTACGCGGAGCACCTGCACGGAGACACGAATGAGGACTCTGCCGGGCCGAAACCAAAGAGAGAGCAGAGCTTAGCAGAGCTTGGCAGCTCACCCCGAGGCAACGAGCCGTCTCAGGCGTGAAGACCTGAGAGGACAGGACTCGATCTTTTGATTTTGGGACCCAGCTTGGGCACCCCCGCAGGTTCGGGGCACTCGTAGACGATCAAAGTCAGAACCTCACGGAAGGAGCAACAACGTCGTAAAGGCATCTTGCTTGCTTGCTGGGCAATGCTCTCAACCTGTCCGAGCTGTCTCTGCCGAGGGGCCGTAGTTATCCCGACCTCGACGCTCAAGGTCTGTGACCGCCCAATGACCTTCGTGGCAGCTCCACCTGCTTCGTCTGCGTCTGAGCGAATCCCGTCCCCACACGTCTGAAAGCTTACGACCGATACGGCTCCGATACAAAGGCACACTGCAGTCACTGCAGCATTCTGAGCTCTCGCGCCGCTGCCAACGTTGCAGAAGTAGAACATGTCCTGCCCCAGCCCCATCACCTAGATTGGAACGAATGATAAGCATTGGAATTAGCTGAGAAGGTAGAATTTGTTCACTGCATGCCCAACGCGCCAGCGGTAAGTAATGTAATTGGCGTGTGACATTCGAAGCACTGATCATTGCTATGTCACATACTGTACAGCAGCACTTGATGTCATGTCTAAAAACAGGGTCAGGGTACTACACACGAGACCGTCCTGGGATTTTGCATTGTGAACATCCACCTCAGATGACCCACAGCGACGCAGCTATGTCGCCACTTTTAGGTCGCCCGGCCATTGTCACCAGTACCGGGATGGTGTCAGTGGCCAGGGCACTCCCCATCTTGACGAACCTGACTGCACCGCGCACTCTAGGCCTAGGCCCCAAAGACCCCAAGTCCCAACTGAGCTGCCGGCCTTTGAGCAAAGCCCGTGGGGCGCCCACGAGAGGCACTGAAAACCGCAGCGGCTCTCAGAGAAGCATGGACCGGACCAAGAGTGCTCGAGAGCAGCAACAACTCGATCTCAAGGAAAGCGATCTTTGAAGCTTTTTTCGCAGAAAGAGCCATGAGCGCCCTGAAGCGCCTTGCGAATCCTCCCTTCCTGCGACTTGCAGTTGGCCCCCGACATTTCTAGCCCGGGTTCATGCGGTCTTGACTCAGCTCTGGATTTCAGCTGCCTGCGCCATCATGCGCCATCGCACCCTCAACCCGAGGCCAAGGCTGATGGGGCGGTGCGCCTGCAGGTGGCGCACCGGGGGGCGGCGCCCCGGCCCCAGCGGGCGGCGCGCCAGCGGGCGGCGCGCCTGGTGGCGCCCCAGCAGGCCGAGCGGGAGCGCCCGCAGGAGCGCCCGGAGCAGGAGCCCCTGGCGCACCCGCACCCGGAGCCTGCGGCGCTCTGCCTCACAGCTGCGAGGACTGACGGTGACGAAAAGGAGCATTCCCTGCCCAGCCTGGCAGCTGTGGCATGTTTTGCGGCCTCAGCTCGGAACAGTGCGGGGCTCCAAGTGCATTTAATATGCATTTCTCCTTGGGAGCCTGGCTGCGGCTTCGGCTTCGCGAACGGGTAGTCCACCTCTGCTGAGATCTGAGAGTCTGACTCGAGCAAAGGCGGACCTGGCCTGCGCCCACTCCTTGCTCTGCCCGCGCATGGCCTCGAGCAGCAAGACGAATTTGGGAAAGAAAGTTGGTAAGATCTGAAGTGGGAAGTCTGCTTCTCCTAGTCGCTTTGCTTCCGGCTGCATAAGTCTCCTCATCGTAGCCCCGAAGCACGCCACGGCGCCAGCCACGCTCGCGTGCCTTTCCGCACGTCTGTAACTCCATTCCACCCATGGCCATCCAGGAGCCCATGCACTTGGAACCTCGCCTCTCTTTCTCCCAAGGTGGTTTCGAAGTCACCATAGTCACCTCCCCAGTCCATCCAGCTCCCAGCTCCCAGCTGCACAAAACGCGTCTCAGTCATCAGATGTACTCAATACCAGACATACCTTCCCCTGGCGGCACGAAGATGCCCAGCACGAATCCGCCGATCTCAGTTTACTGATAGAAGGATAGGCCAGGATTGGTCTCTGCAGACTGCAAAACCCTCCTCGGGAGCCGGACCATGGCGACACCAATGATGGCAAACAAGCTAATCACGGGAGCGAACATGATCGCCTGGAACCTGTCAGGAATTTCTGCGGACACTGCGCCACCGGGCCGACAGGGCCGACAGGATCCCCGGGCGCGGACCCTGCCCCTCCATCACTCGCGGCGGCCGCCGGGAAGGCCGGCAACACGCCGGCCAGCACCTGCGAGAGCTCTTAAGAGCACTTCGAAGAGCACGGAGCAAAGCACGTGTGAAAACACGCCAAGTCTAGGACGGTGATCGGGGCCGCAAGCGAGAGCTGGCGACGAGGAAGGTGAGGCCCCGCAAAAGCCACTACCTCCAGCATCTCGGCCATGTGAAGGCCGATAAGGCCGTGTGCTGACGGGGTCCGCACCCGAAGAGACAGCGAACACAGCGCTACCGCCACCTGGTTCCAAGGGCTCACAGCTCGCCAGGAGTGCACCAAAGAACGCGCATCGCGCAGAGACTTCCCCCAGAGCCCGGCTCCGAGGCGGCGCCGGTGCCACTTCGCCTCAGCGGCGAAGGGCCCCAAAAAAAGCTGGACTCCTGGTGGATTTCTTTTTGCAGCCCCCGAGGCTTGAACGGAACTGGCCATTCGGCTACTAGGACTTTCGGCTCCTTGCCCGAAAGCCTTCGCTGGCCCAGCCCGAGCCCAAGCCCCTCCTATTCCCTCCTCTCCTCTCCACTGCTAGCGGAGCCAAAAATCGCCCGTTGTTTTAGCGACGACGGCTTTGCTTGGCAACAGTGGTCAACTGGTGTTTCTTGCAATCTGGTTGATGATGCGCAGCTGTCGAGGTGTTCGCAGCAGTGCCCTTAAAGCACCGGCTCAACTATATGGAGAAGCAAGTGCATTTAATTGGGTTCGAGACAAAATGTTTATTAAATCGATGCATGTCGGAAAACAGGCTTCAGAGATATGAACAAGAAGCCGACAAGAGCGCCATCACCATTGCGAACTGTACTTGTGGCTAGAGGCACTGGTCAAGGTTCTTGCGGCTTTGCATCCTCCACACAAACACAGACAGACGGAGAGACAGAGCGACAGAGAGACAGAGAGACATGCCACTGCGAACTTAGTTTGCATCGTTGCAGAGAGTCCTCCCTAGTCCAGAATGCAGCAAAGGAATACTTCCCGGTGTCCTTCAACGGACAGTCGCATGCTCGTAGAGCACGATGTCTATCTGCCGTTCCTTTCGAAAAGGGGCTGAAGCGAGCACTTCATGCGGCACAATGGGGCTGCTAGGCATCAGTCATACTCGTCCATGGCTTTGGGCCAGTAGTAATCACTTTGCCTCGTGCAGGAGGGTGCAGTACTGTAGGCCACGGAAAGCTTTTGCCGGCCGGCCATGGGCTTCGCACATCGCCGTGCGCTGCATCCGACAGAAGTCCTCCCTGCGCTTCAGGTTCAGCTCCACAGCCCGGTACACGGTCTCCTCTGGCACTTCGACTTCCCAGTCCACAATACATATATGTACATCAGAAACGAGCTCCTCTTAAGACTGTTGAGTTTAGTGGAGCTATAAAATCGCAAACCTTAAGAGTGGTCCTTCAGCGTGTCAGAGCTCAGCGGGCTGACCTTTCTGCTACACAACACACAGCACGGCCCTCAATCCAAAAGCGACTTCCGCTCGCTGAGTCGAGGCAGCCGACATGGAAGCCCGTTGCCACCTCAATGCCCTCGGAGATATCCTTTCGAGTCACGAAGTGTCACGAAGTGTCACGAAGTCCCGGCCCCCAGGTGATCTTTATCCCTGCCCTGCCTTCACGGAGTCGACGAGGCCTCCAGTGGCATGAACGATGGGCAGCGTCCCGTACCTGAGCTCAGAAGTAAACGCTCTGGCCTCGAGAACCACCTCCTCAGTCCAGGTCCAAGAAGCATCTGGGAGTACATCTGAGGGAGGCCGCAGGGCTCGTAGCGGGATGGCATCAGCAGCAGGTCGCAACCCGCCATCATCTGGTGCCTCAGTGGCCACACGCCAGGCTCAGGCCCAAACCCTTGGTCTCTGAGCTCTGAGGCGCACACTCCACCTTGGGGTCGAAACCTCGTCGACGCACCAGAAGATTCACACGCCAGAGCAAGCCTGCTTCTCTCGGCATTCCGGCCGACATAGCCGCAGATGCGGCCGCGGTGGTTGGTTTCGGCCCATCTCAGCGTCTCCTCACAGAATCTCTCTCCACGGTGTCTGCTTGAGCTGTCCGAGGCCGAGGCAGAGTACTGCCGGTCCCCATTTCCTGCACAGATAGCGATTTCAACAGGCGAGCGCACGGGTCCAGGCATGGCGCACCCATCATTATCAGCTGCACATGGCCGGTGACGCCGTTGCCCGTGTCCTCAAATTTGGACAGGCAGCTGGCACACTCACAGGTGACTTTCTGCCCAACATCCCACCTGCATCAGCCAGGAGATCATTGACGCGAGCACATCCACACCCTTCTGCCTCGGATGACTGCGACTGAGTCTGCCTGAAATTCTGGGTTGGTCATGGAATGCCAGCGTGATGCCGGAGTTAGGACGAAGCAGCGGGAACTGAAAGTGCTCGGCTAGGAGCGACTGTTGCAACACAGCATTCATTGGTTCGACATTTCCCAGCGACACCTTAAAGCACGCCTGATGGTTCAATCGAGGTTGAAACTCACACGAAGTCTCACAGCCCTACAAGTACGACCCGCAAGATGTCTGGTGTTCACTTCCCCGACCCACCCACGAACCAAACCGCACACTTTCTCCTCTCCCGTTACCCCGAGCACAAACCGCACAGACCGCAAAGCAGACCACAGGCGCTTCGATATCCATTTGCCCCCCTGCAGCTGAATGCGTTCCCTCAGCACTCAGTCGCGGGCCACGTGAGGCGTCCAACGAAGCCAATTAGGCACAACTGGCCGTTTGCTGTCACTCGAGGCAGCTGACAAGAGCTGGGTCTGCCTTCCTGGCTTAGTTTTGCCCCTTGCCTCAGGGTTCTCCTCCAGTCCCAGCGTTCGCTGTAGCTGCACCTCGCTCGAAGGTGGGATGAAGGAGGGGCATATGGACGATGCTTGGACTCAGTGTACGCATGCGGCATGCAGTAAACAGTAGACAACGCGCAAGCACTTTGTAGAACTCTTGCTCGGGGCTTCCGGCTTTGTTCTCTTGCTTTCCCTGCTCAAAGTCCTCGACGCTGAAGTTGACGAACTGAGATCAGTCGCGGGGCGAAAGCTTTGGTGCTTTGCTGGCTGCTCCACGCCAAGCAACGATGTCTGGATCCACTGCCGGATCCCAACCTGAGGCTCTGCGCGAGGGGGTTATCACCCTCTGGCTAAGGTCATGCTCACCTATGGGGGGGGCCAGCTGAATCCTAAGCAGACACGTGTTGTAGCAAGCTTCGTTCTTGTGGCTACTCAGCACGGATCTGCTCCACAGACACGGGGGGGGGTATCAAGTCAACGGCAATGGACCCGAGAATTTGTCGCAAACAACGGACACGGTTGCACGCGGCGGGAGTATGCAGGATTCCTCCAAATGAGCTCGTTCACGTCTCCACCCCTAGGGGCCCGCCCGACCCGGGGCGACCCTGGCCGCACCTCAAAAGATGCTGACCTACCTTGGCGGGAGCGCTGGGGGGACAATGTGGGGGGGTGAAAAGTTTAGTTTCCTGCTAGGGCAGAAACAATCTGCAGCTAGGCAAGGGCTTAGGTTAACCCTCAAACCACGCACACAAGGCACAGACTAACTTATTTGCTTCACCTCGTGCCAAAAGGGTCTACCACTACAAACTATCCAATATGGTACTCAAAATACGTTGTATATCCTGACACCCCTCCTTGCCAGTTGATTCCATGAGCTGGACAGCCGGCAGGCACTATTCAAGGGTGCAGTCTGTACACAGGGCAAAGCCTTGCAGAACGACGCCTGGTTTTGGCCCAGATGTCTACAGTGTCTCCTATGAAGATTGCTGCCCTTACTGTACGGGTAATGTACACTTGGGCACCCTGCTCAAGACCTCGTCGGTCCACGCGGCCTCCAGCGGAAGGGGCCGCTTCGTTGCAACACGTGGCTCAGTCAGTCATGCAAACGCGGATCTGGACCAGCGCCAATTGGTCTGGATCGCAGGATATGACTGATCACCATGTAGATGAAGAAAGACGCGTCTTCTCCCTCCAGCTTGCGCTCCTTCGGCAGAGGCATGCCTTTGAGGAGTTCTGTCACTCTGGTGCCTGACAGCCCAAATCTGCCCAACTACTTTTTGTCGGTTCCTTCTGAATCTGGAGCTGAGTCTTTCGGACGCAATCCTGAATCCAAAGCTCCTTCATGGACAGATGCTTTCAGAGCCTTTCCTCGTAGCAATTTGTTTCGCGGCAATTGAGTCGGTCAGTCGGTCTTCATCGTGAGCTTTAGCCGCCCCTTCAAACCGATTCGCTCCAAATCTGGGATGTGAGCAGGCCTGCAGCTGCGTAACTAGCCCGTGATACGCGAAGTGCCACACCTCCTTCGGTACTTCACAAAGTACCTCCCAAAGTGCTTTAGCTTGCGCTCATGCTCACCTTTCGAATAAGCCATGCCGGATGTGATCTGAGACAAAGAATATTGAGTCGTAGGGCGATCCTGCGAACGGTACAGCACAGTGCCTGCGAGTCTCCGGGACTTCGCCTCTGCAGCAAGGTCCAGCTCTTCCAGGTCCCTGCGTCCCTCCCCACAGTCCGCAGAGAATGGGGCATCTGCGCCTTTGGCATCCATAAGGCCAAGTTCCTCGACGATTTGGTGAAAGCATTTGGGATCTGCTTCGCGACTGACTGAAACCACTCTCACTCCATTGAACGATGCGATGCAGATGGCCTCTGCCTCCGAACATACGTGGCCGCTTTCGCCCTCGGCGATAAGGTCATGCCCCTCGTCGTGGTAAAAGGCAGCCCCAGAAACCTCCCAGAGCCCTGCCTCGAGCGTTTCGTTCACTCGGAGAAGAAACCACAGCTTGCAATGGATCCAAGCCTTTCGGCGGAACGACTGCGATCGTGCCCGTGGCAATCGCGTGACACGTCGTACCTGGCGATGAAATTTCGCCGGTTTGTTCTGCCTGCCTGTGCAATCGCAGCCGCAGAAAGGATCATGCGATGAATCTTCAAAGGAGGTGTTCTGCTGAACACCTCATCCCTTTCGTTGTCGTTGATCTCTTGGGCCACGCAGCGGCTGCGCAGCCCAGTGGGATCATTGGCAATGGCTTCCAGCCATCAACCCACCTGCTACGGACTGTCTTTAGTCCCTGTCGTCGGGGCTCTTCCCAGGAGATGTCCTTCTTGTCACTCCATCTTCTCCAGTTCAGGCGCCCTGGCGGTCTTGAAACTGTCTAAAGGAAGTGGCTGATGAAGCCGACGGGGCCGTTAAATGCTCCGTACAAACAGAGCCCAGACCTTGGGCAACTCCTTCATTGAATCAGTTGAAGAAACGGGCAAGCTCAGCGCGGGTACGAGGTCCAGTGTGCTGCCCAGCGGCACACCAAGAAAAAAAAATGAATCAGAAAGCCCAATTGGTGCCCGGCCGCGTCACAAAAGAGCTCCGAGGTCGTTAACATCTGGACATTATCAGCATGGATGCCGTGCTGACCTTCTGTTCTCGGGGATTGACGACATTATGGATGCTCAATGGTGACCCTCTGCTCTCGGGGACGAGATGGCATAGATGCGCGGGACATGATTAGAGTTGCGGCAGGGATGCCCTGGTGACCGTACGCGCAAGGGATGGACATGATGAACGATTGCGTGTGGTTTGGGATGTCAATCGGGCACAGATGCGCTGCGAACTTGTCGGGAATGCACTCGTTCCGATAACCCGTTGACTCTGCTCATGGTTTCTAAATGGAACATGGGAATTGCGAGACGATGCAACATCAGAGGCTCTGTACTTCGAGCGCCAGACATTGTATACCTAGAGCGCCAATGACACTAACCTTCCTACAGCACCGCATCGTCTTGCACAGTGAACAGCGGCTGCACACTTGCGAACTTAAAATCGAAACCGGAAGCATTCCCAGCTTCGTCGTTCTGCCTCAGGTCCAGACAGTCATCGATGCCATTCAGGATTCCCGCCAGCCGCAAGGATGCGGCTTTCGCTGAAACGAAATCCTGCCATGTGGGCGCATCCTCTGTGGCCTCTTGCGGTCTTCGGTCTCCTGCAGGTTGAAGCCCCCGTGCGGCGTTTGGATCTCTTTCGAATAGTTGGGCGACACAGTCAGCACCCGGTCTGCGCCTGACGGAAAGAGAGACCCCGGGAGCAATGGGCCTAAGGCTGCTGAGGGCCAGGCAGATGAGTGCTCCTGAGTACGCGCAAGTTACGAAAGGCTGTCTGCACTGTCTGCAGTGTGTCAGCATTGCCCGCTCCTTTGGACAGGTTGATGCAGTTGCCACGCACCAGGTCTCCGGCTGCCTGTGCCCACCCCCAACCAGACTGAGTACTTCCTTGAGATACAAGTTTTTTGTACTTTTGCAAGCTCCCCAATGGCTTTCGTCTCCTGGCAATGCACAGCGACAAGAAATACAACGTAGTCTTTACCTATGCTGACAAACTGTTTCTCGCCTCTTTGACAAGACATACCTACCAGTGCAGAAACATGCCGTGCCACCTCTCAGATCGAAAGTCATGTAGCACATTCGCAGGATGGATACGGCAAACGAACAGCGAAGAAAGGAACACCCCAAAACGAAACCCGACTCGCGGAGGCCGAGCCAAAGAGTGTGGCCGAGCGCCTCTTCGACGTCTGCTTTTTCTGTAGCGCAACTACACGGTTGAATAAACCAACAACTAGTTGCCGGCCGTATTCAGGACCAGATGATGGTTGACTGAACATGAAATTTCAATGATATGCTTCCTTTGCAAACACATTACAGGAGAACTGAGGACGTCGCAGCCAGCCGGCACAAAGGCTCTGATTTCAGAAGAAGAGCAAACACTCGAAACTGCCTTCAATCCAGACAGAAGTCAATGAAATTGCTGTACAGCGGAGTCTTTCCAAGAAACGAGCCTCGACACAATCAAATCCAGTGTATGTTAGAGGAGAGTGCGGCACAACAGACCTCACAACATCAACGTGTGAGTCTTGCGGCTTTGGTTTGCGAGTGTAGCCATGGTTCGCTGTAGGAGTTTTGGGTGGTGCTTTCGATGCAGGGTTGCATGTTCGTGGAGTGTATGGCGGATATTGAATCATTCATGCCTTTCAGTTTTTCTGCTGCCTTGTCGTCGATGCCGAAGAACCTGCAAGCGTCGCAGCCATGGTACCTTCAGGCTTCTCTGCTTTTTCGACCACTCTCCAGTGCGGCAGTAAATTCATGGCGCACTGGCCCTGGTAGCCCATGTTGTGGATGACATAGATGCATCTCGCCTGTGCTGGTAGAACGTTTTTCCGAGACCGCGTCCCAAAAGGAACTGGCCTGGGAGTAGCAGTTGTGCCGTCTATACTTGTAGCACAGGTAGAGAGGGACCTGAGGTAGACGAGAGCATCCACAAAAGCAGCGCAATGCCGTGCTCGCCAAGGCTTGCGCGAGTCCTGCCTGCCAGTCGTTGGCGAGGAAGATCACCTGTGAAGAAAGTCTTTCAGCGCCCAGTCCAGGCCTCCAAGCCCTCGCCTTGTCACCATATTTGCCCTGCCTGTTGATATCCAGAATCAGTGGTGCCTGCGTTTAAAGCTTGACATTGCAAGAGCTTCTCAGAGCGGATTGCTGGCCTCCATGGCAGCGAGACAGAGCAAAGTGAAGCGATGGAGGTTGTCCTAAGCTGCTGTCAGAGATGAAGGAACATGAAGCAACATGAATGATAGTTGCCGCCGGCAAAATGTAATAACAGAATCGGACATGATTCTGGATACTCGCGACCGTCGTTGTCGTTGTAGAGCCCGCCCTCTCTTTGAATGCCGGACCCCTCAATGAACAAGAAGTCGGTCCCCTTGCCCTGCCAGCATCATACTGTAAAAGACTCCCCGGACGGTGTTGATGCATCTTGCTGCTGATGCAGTCCTCTTCGTAATCCTTGCGCAAGTGCCAGTACTTGACGTTCTCCTTCACTCAAGCAGAAGCTCATGCAACGAAAATGCCAGGGTCCAGCATATCATTACGAAGACCAAGCACATTGATGTGGATGATTAATACTGCCGGGCTAGAACTGAACAAGACGACAGCAAGATACCTGGGAAACAAGGAAGGACATCGAAGAGCCTGCGTAGTGGGTGGGACCTGTTCTGTCTTCAGTAGAACTGCAACTTGTAGGGAGAATGCGCACGGGAAGCTGCTGCCGGCTTTACACGAAACTAAAATCCAAAAGCACCATCGCTTGAAAAGCCCTTGACGAGCAAGATCTCTGCCTTGCCCAGCTTCGAGAGTAAAAGTGCCAGTTCTCCCAAGACATTGCTTGCCAGCGTTCATCCCAAGGGCAGCAACAAGAACTCTTTGCCCGGCCCACACCTGTAATTCTTCTCTCGTGCAATCGATTGAAGCTGCTCTGAGCCCGATGATCGCTGGCCCCCCAAAGATGGCATGATGACATTCTAAGCTTGCAAAAGCAAGTTCAAACTGGATGCAGCCCGTCCTCGGTGTCGTTGACCCGAACTCGGGTCTCGCCGACGTAGGAAATCCCTTCAAAGTGCTTGTACTTGGGGGAAACCACCATGGTCCGATGGCCGTTCCTCTCCCAAAACAGGGCTTCAAGAACTAGCAAGATTCTAAGACTACACAAGTTAAAGGGACACCACTCCAGAGTGGCTAACCCAGAACTCTCTCAATGGCGGAGCCTTGCAAACTCGAAGGCATAGGAAGCTGCCACCATGCCAAGACCTCCTGTCCTTGGCGGTCTTAAGCGAAAACGGAGACTTTGAGACACCCCTGAGCCGAGCATCTTAGAGTACGGTGCCACCTCACTGGTCACAACAACGACGGGGACGCTGAGATTGTACGGGTCGTAGTGTGACTGTGCCGTCTTCTTCCCCTTTCGATGCTCGGCTTTGGTTTCTGGATCCGCCACGGTTGCCAAAGCTGAGAAACTCCTCAGCCCAAAACAAACTTTGGTTTACTGCTCTCGCACAGCTCTATGAACACATGTTTGCACCATACTTCAGCGACGATTCCGACTCCAACTTGACAAGAGGCGTGATGTGCTTCAGTGAAACACCTCGCGTTTCCGGCTCTTCTGGCACCCGGAGTGGCTCCTCGGTCTCCGTGTCCTCTAAGGGCGTCTGGGTAATCACCACGTCGGGCTCCGGAGGCTCTTCGGCGGGCTCTTCAGCCTCTTGAGCCGTCTCCTGAGTCGGCGTCTGCTGAGGCGTCTCTGGGGGAGGCTCCTGAGCTAGCTCTGGGGCTTCTGTTTTAGCCTCTTCCGTCTCAGAAGTCTCCGCCTCCTTCTTCTCCTTGGCCTCGGCACTTCCGCCGCTGTTCTCCGGTTCTTTATCCTCCTTCGGCTCCTTCGGCTCCTTCGGCTCCTTCGGCTCCTTCGGCTCCTTCGGCTCCTTCGGCTCCTTCGCTTCAGCTTGGACTTCAGCTCCCGGAGTGGCTGAGGCGGCCTGGGGCTCGGAGGCATCCAAAGCCATGAGGCTCTGTGAGAAGTTCCTCCTGCGCATCTCGCGATTCTCCAAAGTCACGGCCAAAGGGCAGGTCGAAGTCACTTCCGCAGCGGCTTTGTCGACTCCGCTCTCTGCCATCTTCAAAAGAATCTCCTCCTTCTCCTGCTTCTGAACGGCTCGATCCTTCTCCTCTGTCTCTGGCTCCTTTAAGGTCGTGGAGGATGCCGGGCCCAGGCTCGACACCTCGGCTGAAGCTTTTTCCCAGTCCGAGGTGGCCAGGAGCACTTCGTCCGCAACGGGACAAACGCGGTAGTTGCCTTGGAAGTTCTGCCACTGGACCTGGCCCTCGCGGTTTTCCTTCTGAACCACGAACTTATACTCCACATTGTAGCCCACAGGAAGCGGGACAGGCTTCACGGTCTGCCACTTTGGGAAGAGCTCCGCCGAGGTTTGTAGAGGCAGGGCCATGGTCGTCTTCCAGGCGCCCAGCGCTTCGTGGCCTCCGACCACGAAGACCGCCTCCCCCGGCCGCGTCTGCGAGCAGCGGACCTCGAAGACCACGGAGGACACCGGGGAGGTCAAGGAAGAGCCTCCTTCGTAGCCCGCCATTCCGGCACCAAACTAGCACGTTCGATTTGCCATTGAGGGGGGTTCTGCTTGTTCAACGGAAGAGGTGGGTTGCTGTTTTATCTCTGTCTCTTTTTTTTGAAGGCAGAGAAAGGGTCTATCCCCTTGTCCGTCTTTTTGTCTAAACGCGGAAACCTCGTACAAGGCGCTCATCAGCTGCCTAGCTGCTCGATGTGGATGTTGTTCTCCCTCGTTATGGGTAAAGTTGTCTTGAGCATACTCGTGTCTACCCGCAGAAGCTTGACGCCTTAGCCGGGGTTTCTGCAGCTTTCTCTGAGAACCCCAAAATGCACAAAGACTCGCGCAGCCTTTTTTACACCTGCTTGTCCCCGTTATTGGGCCAATCTTTTCTCCTTTGGAGACCCTTGGCCGCCCAAACCTGAGCTCTCAAAGCTCCTTTTCTCAGAGCAAGGTGAGACATGATGCAAAGATGACCTTCAGTCGAAGCGGAGCTCGAGAAGCGCCAGGCTAAACGAACGACATTCATGTGTTGTTCTGAGACAAGCACGAGACCAAATCCACCTGCGTGCGATGGCATGTACATACATATATATATATATATATATAGATCTCTGTCTATATATATATATGTATACACATGTGTATGTATGTATATGTATATGTGTATATGTGTATATGTGTATGAGCCCGATACCTTTAGGGTCTATTTCGTTAGGCTTTAGGCTTTTGCAAAATAAAATCCTTAGCTAAATACTATACGTACAAATTATTCATTGCACAACCATAATTCCGAAAAGTTTGAGACATGCCCTGAGATATAGTTTAATATCGATATCCTGTACAGCTAGAACCGAAAGACAAGGAGAAGTGAACACACATACCTGCATTGAACGGGAACAGTACCTGTAAACTTATAACCGGGCAAGCAAAGATTATAAGGATCACACAAATATGATACAGATAGTAAAAAGGATGATACACGTAGGATATGGAAGAAAACAGCGGAGAGGATTGGACCAAATTATGCCGACCAGCCGAACAGAGGATTGTACCAAATTTTGCCATGCAGGCAAAGATGAAGATATCACAAATATGATAAAAATAATTTAAGAAAAGATGATACACATAAGATTTGGAAGAAGTTGCAGTAACAGATCGTCGGCAAAATTTGGTCCAATCCTCTCTGCTGTCATTTCCTTGGTTACCTGAGGAAATGACAGCGGGGACTGTCATTTCCTTGGTTACCGGTAGGAAATGACAGCGGAGAGGATTGGACCAAATTTTGCCGACCAGTGGACCAAACTTCGCCAGGCAAGCAAAGATGATAAAGATGACACAAATGTGATACAGATTATAAACAAAGATGATGCACATAAGATGTTTGGAGGAAGTGCCGGGAATAGCTCGTCGGCAAAAGTTGATCCAATCCTCTCTGCTGTCATTTTCTTGGTTACCGGCAGGAAATGAAGGCGGAGCGATTGAACCAAATTTTGCCGACTAGCTGTTCCCATTGCTTTCTTGATGTTACCGATGGGAAATTGGACCAAATTTTGCCAAGCAAGCAAAGATATCATAAATATGATAAAATGGTCATCAAGGTGGGTGGGTGGGCAGTGGGCGGGTGAGTGGGCGGGTGGGTGGGTGGGTCTGGGCCCCTTGTTTAATGCGATATTTACAGGCTTTTTGCTCGGTGGCGTCTCACTTCCGCCAGATTCTACCAGCAGACGCGTGAAATCCATAGCCTTTTGTTTAAAGCGGCGTTTACAAGCTTTTTGCTCGGTCGCGGCCCACTTCTGCCAGATTTTACCAGCAGATGTGTGAAATCCCTAACCCGTGTTTTTATGCGGTATTTACAGGCGTTTTGTTTGGTCGCCACTCACTTCCGCCAGATTCTACCAGCAGATGTGTGACATCCCTAGCCCTTTGTTTAATGCGGTGTTTACAAGTTTTTTGCTCGGTGCCGGCTCACTTCCGCCAGATTTTGCAAACAGATGTATGAAATCCCTAGCTGCCGCTTTAACGCGGTTGTTTAGAAGTCTTTTGGTGCTGAGTGGTGGGACGAAGTGCAGCGTAGGGTTTAGGGGACAAGGAGTGCAGGGAAAAGGGTCTAGGCTGTGGGGGAAAGGGTTTAGGGGAGCCGGTGCAGGAGGGTGCGTCGAAACAAGTGAGGGGTGGAGCGCGCGGAGTTTGTGGGGGGGAAGGAAGGGGGAGGGAGGGTAGGGGTAGGGGCGGAGGTGAGGTGGGGTTGGGGGGGGAGGCCCGGCCGAGCAGGTCGAGGGCTGGGCGTGCGCGCGGGGGTGGCTGGGGCCAGCTGGGAGCGTGTGGGATCCAGCCATCCGGCCATCCATCCATCCAGCCAATACATACATACATACATACATACATACATACATACATCACGTCTTTCACGTCTTTCGGGCGTAGGTCCCTATTCGGTCGCGGCCCTTTAGGCACCTAGTTAAGTGAAACGGAGTAAAGGAGTTCACCCGTAATTACGGATAAACTTGCGTCCCTCGGCCTGCCCTTGCCTTAGCACCCGGATGTCTGGTAGCGGAGCCAAAGCCTCCTGGATGGAATCCGGGTACCAGAAACAGGCACCTACTCCCTGGCCCCAAAGTCGAAGGGCAAATCGAAGGAGATCCCCACACAGAATCTCATATGCCATTCTGCACTTGAAAGCCTTCTGAGGGGTACGGCAAGAAGGGACGTCTATGAAGCCGCTCCAACCATCGACACAAATCTCGAAGATGAGCGAGTCATGAGGGCCTTCGAAAAAGGACAGGGTGCGACCTGCCGCCAATTCATGGAGGCACTCTTGGATGGAGTAGGCAATGGAGTTGGGCCGACGCTTTTCCCTTGCCTCGACACCAAGAAATCGGGCCAACCAGCACCCAGATCTGATTTGAGGCTGGCTGCGGAACGATCGGGAAAGCAACATCTGCAACTTCAATGGTCCCAACCAAAAGGTCGCAATCTCGGAACGTGCACAACTCAGGCTCCGCTGTGGCCGGAGAGGGCACAAGCCACGCTACGATGTCATTCTCGCAGATCCAGGAGAGAGCGGAATGTAACGCAGCGCCGAGCCAGGAAGAAGGCCTGGCGGAGCCAACATGGCCGTCTCTGTAGAGGCGTGCAGTGAGTTGCAGTCTGTGCGGGGTAGAACACACACAAGAAAAGGTTTCTCGGAGCCTTTCCCACAATTGCGCATCAGAGAGCGCGTCGGTATCATAACCAATGTGGTCGAGACAGTCTATGACTTCTGCAACCGGTCGGTCTGTTTCGTCTAGCCACGGGAGAGCAGTGAAGTCAAAGGTAGGCCCTTCAGCCTGGAGTACTGGCGTCTGTGATCTGCCATGGTCTTCTGCCTTGGTACTGCCACGTCCAGGCTCAACAGGGCAACTACACCCGGAACGGCTCAGGCGGTGTCGGCAGGGTGCACTGTATGCAAGATGAGTGCATAATTTAAGATTGGTGCCGAAATGACGCAGGCATGCCTGACACTGTTGTCCGGCAAGAAGGCCCCTGCCCGCAGCGCGTCTACCGTGAGTCTTGAAGGCATGAACAGACCATTGCTGTCTGCTCCGAAATACTTTAGCGCAAGGTCCGCAGAAGAACCGGGCTTCCGCCTCTGGTACTCCCTCCGAGACACATAGGCCTCCCATCATCTTAAGCTGCCGAATGGCCAGACCCTTGTGATACCTATGTGCTGCTTGCCAAGCCTCTTTACGTAAGGCACGGGACTGTGCCTGTTGCAGCAGGCGTTTCCATGCTCCAGGACGGTGGCGCATTAGTTCAGACCAACGCGGCCATTGAGTGGCCCAAGCGCTGTTGTCGTCTGGCTGCTCCAATTGCCACAACCATTGGAGAGAGTTGCGTACCTCCTGGAGCCAGCATTGCTCTTGATGGGCCAAAGCCCAGAACTCTTTGGCTGCCAGCGTAACACAGGAGGGTAAATGGCGCAGTCGTGCAATGTGCAGGAGGGTGTCCATGCTAGGAAGTCCGGCTAAAGCGAGAACCTGGTGAGCGCCTAGACGCCTGGCCTCCTCCACACGGTATCGAGGCCTGAGCATGGATGCAACCATGTGCTGATAGGTCGTGGTGACGCTGGAGACATCCGCCGGGCCTAGGCGTCCCCATGTGCCCGCCCCGCACAAGAGAACCGACAGGACCAGTGATTCAAACAGGACCGCCTTATCTCTCTGATTCACAACGGGAGAGGCAAATATTTTCTTTCGCCGTTTGTTGAAGGCGGTCCAGGCTAGGGCGGTCCTGTGGCGAATTTCTCTAAGCATGGTACCGGAGTGATGAATGATGCCCCCAAGATGTCGATAATCAGCGACAAGTCGGAGCTCTGCCGTGGGCCACAGAGAGCTGTCAACATTCAGCACTGCCGGGTCATGTCGGAAGACCTCAGCCCTGCACTTGCGTGATCCCGGCCCAACAAAGGTAGCCACCGCCTCCGTTCTGCCGCGGTCCAAATTGGGAAGAAGTGCGCGTTCCAAGCAACTATCAAGCAGCGCTCCTGTTGTTCGACGAAGCTTCGCAATAAGCTCGCTGGAGCTGGCAGCTTGGATGACCAGGGCGGAATCATCCATCCAGGTACAATCTAGACGTGGCAGCGTATCACTCGAGTCAGCCTGTACGGGAAGTACGTTGGCATTCATGGCAGGGTGCCACGGCACACGAACAAGGCCGCAAGAATTTTCCACGTGGTCTCGCACCTGCCTTAGGACTCTGGCGAAAACAAAGCTGAATATCAAATCCGCAAGGTTGTCGCCGGGGCGAGTACCTATACCCGTCTCGGTAACTGTGTCACCATGTTCGAATCTGAACCATGTATGGCGCAACGCTTCGCAGGTGACAGCTGAAGTCCATTCCGAGGATCCCGCAGTCTCAAAAAGGGACCTGGTTTCCAGATAGGCTCGAAGATCGTGCATTTCATGCATCATCAATAAGACTCGCAGCTTACCAAAGTACAAATAGTCCATGCCAATGGCACTCGACATCTTCTGAGGGTCTTT